TTCAACAAAAAAAGCACATTTAAAAATTAGCAATTTCATTTTTTTTTAAATTTTCAGAAATACAATTATAAAATAAAAATAATTAAATTTTTATTAATTTTATAATATAATATATTATGGAGGCTCATACTTGAGCCTCCATAATAATAATGGAGAGCCTCCGTGTAATGGAGGCTCATGCTTGAGCCTCCATTATTACTTCACTAAAAAAAAAAAAATTCATAAAAACATATTACTTTATAAAAATTAATTTTAAAAATTATATTTAATAGATTATGTAATTTTGTAGCACAATCTAACATATTAAGATTAAAACCATTTCATGATAAAAATGAAATGATAATAGAAACTCATTTCTCGAAAAATAAATATATTCATTGTTAATAAATAAAAACATTATTTTTATATATGTACGTAAAAGGTATATAATAACTATTTGGATGACCAAAAAATAATATCAATCAAAATGTTTACGAACCGTTTAAATAATAATTAATTGAGGGGGTTAATTCAAGAGCAAAAGTGTGAATTCCACAAATATATGTAAAAAAAATTACCTTAAAGTTATTTAAAAGTAAAAAAAAAAAACTTATAATTGTAAAAATTACTTGTAACTTAACAATATATTAACTTAAAAATTTGGAGTAAATATATTTAATTTTTAAAATTAAATATTAACTTATATGTTAAATTGATGATTTATAAATAAAATATCATTTAAATAAAAAAAATATCAAAGGAATTTCTCCATATTTATTATGGAGACTTGATCTCTCCATGAGATCAAGCCTTCGTATCACGGAAGATTTTTCTCCATAATACGGAGGCTTGTTATGGAGAGATCAAGCCTCCGTATCAAGGAAGATTTTCCTTCATAATACAGAGACTTGTTATGAGAGATCAAGTCTCTTGTTATGGAGTGATCAAGTCTCCGTATTACGGAGGATTGAGACTTCCAAGCATGGAGACTAATTTTTTTCTTTGAATTTGTTTATTAATAATATTTTTATTTGTAGATTTTTTTGCTATCACTATTTTATTTCCAACAATCACTTTTATGTAAGAAATTATTAACAAATAAAAATACAGACAAAAAATATTTGTAAAATATAAGAAGTTACTTATAGGTAAAAAATTTACAATTTTGACACTAATAAAAATATAATAAATACAAAATTCGTGCAACGCATGTGTCAAAAACTAGTATATATATATAGACAAACATGGTCTCAGTACCATATATGGTCATAGCAAGCTCCATTACATGCGTAGTGGGCCAATGATTGCAGTCGATTTATTGGACCTTATAACAAAATAGATCCTTTGTTTGACCCAAGGTGTTGTGATTCACCCATCACGATGGTAGAGCCCATCATTAATAGCCCTTACACTTATCAACCTGCCCATTCCTAAACCCCTCAAAAAAATAAGGGGAAAATTGGTAACAACAAAGATTTAATTTGGCATTTTTTAATAAAATCAATTGAAGTAATATATTTTTATTGTAAACAAAAATATGATAAGTAGTTACATTAAATTTTCTCTCTTTATTTAAAATCCCTTCAATGCGCTCAATTAAAACTTTCACTATATAACAAGAATTGAAAAATTCTTCCTTGTCCACCAACTTGAGATTCTTGAATGTGACAAGCGGTAACATTGTGACCTGTTACTTAATTAAGATTCATTTGTGGCTTATAATGTAATTGTATAGAAGTGTCCTCAGACATTGTAAAGTTGTCATTTATAATTGGAATCTTAATAAGATTCAGTGACATCGCGCTTATAATTCTAGCCTTACCAACTAGTGGTGAAAATTTATGCCTACCTATGTCATAAATAGGATGTCGGTTCAACTTATTTGTGTAACTGTGACCTTATTTGTATAAGCAATCCTTATCGATAGGAACTATGAAATTTAGGCAAATTTGTATTGTAGATAAATGGTGTATAATATTATGTCACTAAATTGTGATCGAATTTACTGAATGTAACATGTGAAAACATTGTGACCCATTTTTCACTGTGATTGTGGCATAGTGTTTGTTAATAGAACGAGTTTTTAGTGAAATGTACAGGGAAATGGAGTTGGGAGGTAGATTTGATGAGGATTCTACCAAATTGGAGATATGTTGGAACGGAAAAATTGGGAGCATATAGGAATTGGGGGGAAATTGATAAAAGAGATATAGTGTAATCTCAATTTTTTTGATATCTTCCACAACCTGAAAAATCAAGAATTGTGGCATGTGAAGTATTTGTCAAAATATTAAGTTAAAGACAGGGCCTAGCCTAATTTTCCCAAATGGAATCAAATTTCTCTCTTGACCACTTTAGTCCCTTTTCACATTGAAGAACATTTGGAACATTTTCAGCATTAAATAAGCAATTGGAAATTTCAACTGGTGAATTTGATAAAGAATTTCCTATAAAAAAATAAGTCCATTCTTCATCATCCCCCATTTTCAGTTGTTGGGCTCCATAAAGTAAACAACCCTCCTAGTGCAGGAAGTCATCATTTAGAGGAAGTTGGATGAAAGTTACTCGATTGTCTATGTACAAACCATTTTTCAAAACTTCTAATAATTCTCTTCACCTTTACTTAATTTGTTTGTTGATTATTGTGTTGAAGAGTTGATAGGTACTCTAAAAGTTGATCGACGATTGTCTTACCTTGGGAATCAGTTTCCAATCGGATGGATACCTCAAAGTACAAATAAAAACATTTTAAAGCAAGATCTTTGATCTTACAGACAAGAAGAAAATGGCAATGCCTCAAGACAATGCTCCATCAAACTCAATGAGGATTTTTTATGCTTTAACTGAGCAGATTTAACAGGAACAAAGTTTCCACCCCTCTTATATAACTGAGAACGGGAAAGGCAGCTAAATAACGAGCTTGAAGTCGAACCAATATAGCTAATCCATGTATTATGTAGCATGCAATGCAAGTCGTATCTAAATTTGTTGAAAGAAAATTCAAATAAATGAAATTAAACTGCAAGTCATCAATTGTATATGTTTTTTGTTTTTTCAAAAATCAAAGTATTTTCTTTATACAAAGTAATATTAGCAAAAATTAAAGATTTTTTTTTGGTATTTGAAAATACATTTGAAATAGTAAAAATATGGTTGAAAAAAATGATAATTGATTATTATAAATATCCTCTATTCTTCACATCATAATTAAGTTGTCATCACTATTTTATATTATAATTAGGAACGTTACATGTGTAGCTAAATCATGGTATTTCTACTAAGTTCAAATGGTAAATGATTGCATGGATTTTCGAAAATTGGAAAATAGAAAAAGCTTTAGACCTTCCATTAAAGCAAGTATAGTCTTTCCGAAACTTCACGTCTACATGTATAAAGTGTACATATATTAAATCAATGTTTAAATTGTCAATAAAGTGTCACACTAAAAATAATGTCAATAAAGTGCACTAAAAAGACTAAAATGTAGCAAAAATAAAGTCCTTTTCTTTTAAAATCTCAACACAAATTTCTTTCCTTTCGCTTTCCCAACTTTCAAAATTGGGCTGTTAAGCAACATAAAAACACTCTTCTTAAAGCATCTTTACCTGATGATAAGTGTAGTATAGCTTTTAATATACATATATATACCCCTTTTTTCTGATATTTTACTCTCTTATCTTGTACCCTTTTACGTTGCACGTGCAAGTTCGCAGTCACGTGCCACACCTCCACTATAAAAAGACAATTAAAGAGAGAAGGCCTAGCTAACTAGGGTTAGGTTTGTTTTTATTTATTTATTTATTTTTTTCATGTATATGGGACCAAATCATTCTTCTCTAGACTAGATTTTAAAAGAAAATTCATAACAACCCTTTTCTTCTTTCTGCTTAATTTAGGATGCATGTATCACTACTCCAGTAAATAAAGCAAAGATTAAGAAGAAAATACTTTGTCAAACTTTATGTAGAAACTTTACCAGTATTTGATTGATCGACAAAGGAAGAAGCAAAGTAATGGAATAAAAGGAAATGGGATTTTAAGCAAAGGTAGTTTGGAATCACATATATACTTACAGATGCATCTAATTACCTAACAGTCAAGAAGTATCTGTCACTATTTGGATTTTTGTGCAACGAAGAAGGCTTTTGTGGCGGGTAGGTGGGGTGGGTGAAGGAAGGGATGGGAAGAAGTGAAAGAGGGAGAGGGAGAATCCATATATGGTGATAAAGAGATAGATCAGATACTTAAAGTAGGAAAAGGCAAATGTTTTCTGGGTATCAGAAGTATAGAAGCCTTGATAGAAACATATCAAACCACATTGTTAGTCAGTTTCTTCCTTCATTTCGCTTTCATAGAATAACACACCCTGTCTTTTACTCATTATACAATATTCGTAAAAATAATATTTAATAATTTTACTACCATTTTGTTCTCTTATCTGTGCATGTGTTTCTCACTTTTTCATTTTTGTTTGGGTACACATGATTGTACAGTTTCAGATAAACGAGAAATATTGGGAGATCCTAACCTTAATCATGGCCTTCTTTTCCTAAATCATAGTGGGGTGGCCGGGGAGTCTTTCTTATCGGTAATAATGGCTGATAATTAGAACAACAATAATGATGTTAAATTTATACTAATTCGTGATTTCCTAAGTTATTGGTTTGAATAAAGCTTATCCAAATTGAAGAAATGTACCAGTTTCTTGGAGTATAATTCATTAAATGCATTGGTCAGAGAAGCAAAAAACAAGAAAAATTTTCCATTGAGTCAGAGGCTGCAATCTTTCTGAGTTTTCTTCTAAGTAGAACTGAAAAGGAAAAGTATTGAGGTCCTGGGTCATCTCTCTCACATTCTCTCTCTCTCTCTCTCTCTCTCTCTCTCTCTCTCTATTTTTTACTATCTCAGTGTGCATTTATTAATCTTGCTGAAATATTCAGATAACAAAACCAGAAAGAGAGGAGAAAGAAGGAGAAGAGGAATAGATAACCAATAATGGAGGGCAGTTGAATTCAAAGACATAGAACTAAAAAGATATTTTCTTTGGGGATTCGAACTTGATTTGAGCTCTTGTTACACTCTAACCAAAACCCAACTGCATTCATGGCTGGGGGATCAGCAAGATAACACCGCCACTACAGTGATATATACACAGAACAAGTTACAAATTCTCAAACTCAGCACTGAAACATCCTTTAAAAAATACACTTCTACTAGAGTACTCTAAAACTCCAAGACTGAAAGGAAAAAAGAAAAGGAAAAAAAAAAGAAAAAGAAAATTAGTGAAAACAAACGCTTAGAGACTAAACAGTAAAGGCTTTTTTTGGTTCTTTTTTAAAATCTTGAATAGGGGCATGAACAAAAGCTAACATGGAGAAGGAGGCATGAGGTTCAACCCTAAATCATCCTTTTCCAAGACCAATCTTGTCTTGTTAATCTCCACTGAAGAAGAATAATCTGGATGTAACCTTTTCTTGGACGAGAGTGGCACACCAAATAGCTTAGTTCTGCTGAGTTCACTATTTGCAGGGTCTTCAAGAATTGTCACACTGCTCTGTAAAGTCTTGCTAGGATTGTTAGAGCTGTTGAATGAGCCCAGAAAAGTATTACCTTGTTTAGGGTTTGATGCCATCTGATGATACCCGATAAGCTGGTTTAATGGCTTTTGAGCAATTGAAGAACCGCTGATGGGTGTAGCTGCAGTAATAGTAGAGAATAAAGATGAAGGATAAGAGTTGCTAGGTGCCACTGGTTTCACATGGTTCTGAACAAAATAAATAATATCATTGTATAATTTCCTCATGTGGGCTAGTTCAGAAACAAGCATATTGTTGTTTCTTCTCAGCCTTTCGTTGTCTTCAGAAAGTGCTGTGACTGAGTTATAAGCATAGGTGACACCTCCACTCGTGCCATTCATTGCGGCGGAGATACTGGTGGGGGAAGATAGTGGTGGCGGCGAGTCACACCAGTGATTGTTCTGTTGCTGCTCGTCCGAGTCCGGTGGCGAGATGCTGACTCTGCTTGGGTATGGAAAGAAACTTGGACCGCTCATAGGTTGATTAAGAGGGTGGTGGTGGTTCAAGGTCACTTGCGGCTGAGCTGTTTTTCTCCGGTGGATCTCACACAGCAAGTGTTTCTCCCCTTTCTTGAAGAACTCATTTGCAAACTCCCACCTGTCTGGTACAATCTTTCTGAAACCCTAGTTTCATCAACACCCAAACATCAAAAAAAAAAAAAAAGGCGAAAACCCAAATAAGCATCTACATCATAAAAACATAATTTCATGTATCTGTAAATAAAGGACTTACATAGGTGTTGAGCTGGCGAACAAAACTAGAGAAATTATTGTGCTTAAAATAGTTGGGAAGAAGGTCTCGAGCAAACTCCGGTGGCCGCCAAACAACAAAGGTTGTGTCATCATCACCCCAAGAAACAATGTGGTCTGTGTTTGGATCATCAACAAGCTGGTAAGTTTTGGTTAAAAACGGCGCCGGAACTGATTTATGTGAATCTAAAGATAATAAAATCCCTTCACAGTTATCTAGCAGCAAAGCCATTGAAGAACAAGATGAGGGTTTCGAATAGAGGTTTTGATGAGAGAAGAAATTTATGGGGGGATTAATTGATAGTTTTGTGTGAGTGAATTTTTATATTAACCTCACATCGGGTATATAGTAGTGAGAGAGGAATATCTGTCTGTTTGTCTTTCTCTCTGGGACTGTGAATAAGGGCTTTTCAAGACAAACCCGTGACTCCCTTTCTTTCTCTCTCCTCTCTATTCTCTCAACGAGCGCGCACACACAACCACAATTTCGTTTGTGGGATTAAGCGAATTGACGTTGCCACCCTTCTCCTCTCTTCCTTTTCAATATCTTTTTTTCGATTTAACTTTTCTTTGTCTCCCATCTTTAAAGAAAAACATCGCCATAATCGTACTGTTACTTGTTCAATTATCCTAGTATGGTATGTAAAGAACGTATTGTAAGTAAAATGTCCTTCTTAGCTCGGATGGTGTTTTTGTTAAAAGAATGTGATTAAACTAAGTGATCTATTTAAATATACATATGTGTCATGCTTATCCAACAAAATTGTTTTCTTGAAAAATTGGTGTAGTAAATCGAAACATGGCAATTTCCAACTTCCAAGGGTAGTTTGGTAATTGAAAATAACGATTCCCTGCTTCGAAGAATGGAATGCAAGTGATTTATAAAAGAAAGAAATAGAAATGGAAGATTAAGAAAGTTGACGTCAAAGGGGTGTCTTTGTAGTTTTCTCTTTGTTGTTTCTGTTTCTTTGCAGATTTATATAAGGTAAAGCCATACATCGAATTACGTGATGGGATTTAAAGCCTTCTTCTTCTTCTTCTTCTCTTCTCTTCTCCTTCTTCTTTTCTCTCTCTATCTATACGTATATATACACACGATTTTACAAAATTCAATATAAAATGATCATGCATGTGGACTATCTTCTCTGATCTGCGAAATGCCAATACACAGAGAAGCTCAGGCACTGGCATGGACCATTAAGCCAATTTTGGCTTCTCACCTGTTCTTTCTTGCTTCAGGTGTTTGAATTATTGACCTAAGAAGTTTCCAGGAATATCAACCCACCTTTTTCTTTCCTTGTTATGGCCCTCCTCCTACCTAAACAAACAAAATTTTTTTTTTTTTTTAAATATTTTTTAGACGGCTCGAGTTCATCTTCATGAACAGTAACCCGTGTCAGAATTTGTTACAAGAATCCAGGAAAAAAAAATTGTAAAAACCATGGCATAGATTCATAAAAATGAATCCATAGGCAGTAATATGATGAGTAATTATTTCACAAAGATACACAACTGATTATTTTCATCATCGCTTTGATTCTCATTATTGGGGAAAAAAGTTCATAACTGTTATCGTTCCCCACGCCTATGAGTGATTTTTTTTATCTTTTTTGAGAAAAGAGTTTGGCTGTTCTCCATTTTCATCTATGTTAATTAATTGGAGTAATTCTCCCATAATTAAATTTCATTTACTGTGTTTATCTTGTCTAACAAGCCGAAATTATGTTTAACAAAAAGTTGTTCTAATCACAAAAAAAATCTTGTTATCTTTCTAATTTGTGAACTTTCTCCGTAAAAAGATTCTTGGCAATAATTTCAATTCAATGCAGTCAACAGACCGATAGACTTTGTTGCATCATTGTTTCTATATTCAAAACATGGATTATTGTTTCTGTTTATTCGAATAGTTATAGTTAATTAAAGCAAGCTTAAATCTCAGTTGAAAAATATGAGACTAGACGCGATTAAACCTCAATTTGACAAATTTATATATGTCCTCGGGGCATAGGTCAGTGGTGCAAAAGACAGGAGTGAGATTATTTCACGCTTTTCTGATAGCCGCAGTGTGGGGGTTCGATTCCTGAGACATGGAATTGGATTCCTTGTAAACTTAATGTACAGGCAGCTCTTGTTCCCTGTCTGCTGGGGCACATCCTGCGATTTACCTCCCTCAAAAAGTTCTAGGGGTGGGGGCAATGGGGACCCTCAAGGTTGGGGTTCAACCTTTATATATGATTTATATATTTATCAACGTTCAGTTGAAATTAATATTTATTGATAATTTTTCTTGCAAATGGAGGCTGAGAAAAACATTTATATATATACAAATAAAAATCATTAATTGTTCTAATCTTAAGTAAAAACGAATACGAAGAACCAGTGTCAGCTTCAAGTCCCGATATTCAAAACCGAAAATGATTTGTTAAACTCTGAAGAAGAAGACTTCTAAAAATCTTTTCTTTCTTCTCCCTTCTCTTTTTATAGTCAGTTTTCACACACAGAGTTCTGCATTTCCTGTACAGTTTCAGCGGCTGACATGGAGACAGGCCTTCCTTTTTATTTTTGATCGTGATTTGTTAAACTCTGAAGAAGAAGACTTCTAAAAATCTTTTCTTTCTTCTCCCTTCTCTTTTTATAGTCAGTTTTCACACACACAGAGTTCTGCATTTCCTGCACAGTTTCAGCGGCTGACATGGAGACAGGCCTTCCTTTTTATTTTTGATCGTTTTTGATATGCCATTCTCGTGATACTTACTTTGGATTTTTCCATATATTCATCTGAAACCTCTATTCACTTATTCATGTTACAAGCACATATGGGAATATTTCACATGTAATTGCATCAATCTAGAGGTACCTCATATGCTCTTTTAAATTTTAACCTCATTATCTATGCTTTTTAAACTTTAATCTCATCTAGTAACTTTAACAATAAAAAAATGTACACGCACACTATTCTTCTAAGGAAAAACTTGTTAAATAGAGTACCAATCTTGCTCGAAAATGTTGCTTTTCATCTTGAAAGGTCTAAATGTTACATAAAAGATAAACGAATTTTTTTTAGTACTTTTGAAGTATGGAGTACTCAGTTCCATGTCACTATTTAAAATCGAGCTATATTTCTCTGAAAATTCATTTTCAATGACACATTCTCCAATAAAATAATAATACATTTACACATAAAAATTTTCATTTTTTTAACCACACATTCTCCATCAATCTACTATTTCAAAATACACTCTTCCTTCCATGTTACAAGCACATATGGGAATATTTCACATGTAATTGCATCAATCTAGAGGTACCTCATATGCTCTTTTAAATTTTAACCTTATTATCTATGCTTTTTAAACTTTAATCTCATCTAGTAACTTTAACAATAAAAAAATGTGCACGCACACTATTCTTCTAGGGAAAAACTTGTTAACTAGAGTACAACAAATCTTGCTTGAAAATGTTGCTTTTCATCTTGAAAGGTCTAAATGTTACATAAAAGATAAACGAAATTTTTTTAGTACTTTTGAAGTATGAAGTACTCAGTTCCATGTCACTATTTAAAATCGAGCTATATTTCTCTGAAAATTCATTTTCAATGACACATTTTCCAATAAAATAATATTACATTTAAACATAAAAATTTTCATTTTTTTAACCACACATTCTCCATCAATCTACTATTTCAAAATACACTCTTCCTTTGAAATATATATATATATATATATATATATATATTAGTAGAGAGAGAAGACAAGAAGATTCTATTCTATAATATCTAAGATGGCAGTAGAAAATGAACCTCAACGCTCACATGACCACCGATACCTTTCAAAAAAATAATCATTCTTATATAATGCCATAATGAGAATTCCTAGGAGAGACAGCTTAAAACACACAAACAAATAGTTATAATTAAATCCCACTTTCTTAAACCTAGATTCACTCACATGATGTACTGATGTACATACGTTAGTATGTGTGTCTCAGTGTCTGAATATAAATATATTTTTATCTTATGTCTCTGTCTATCCAAACCAGTAAAGACGAGAGGAAGAATCAAAAATAGTATTCTACAAGAAGCTACAAGGTTCTTGGCTCTGTCTCTTTTCACACTCTCTTTTGTCTGTTCTACTGGACCCTATCTGCACCAAGAGAACCAAAAACAAATCTATATGTTTAAATTCAAAACACTCACTCATTTTTAATAATATATACACATGATACAAACATTTTTATATTTATTTTTTCTGTTTCTCTCTCTAAGAATATGGTCAAAGATGGTCTTCAAATTAAAGCCTATGCTACAATATGCAGTATGCATGGACATATACGTATATATTGGATTAAAGGGTCAATTGGGGGTGGGGCGGGGTTTGGTGGGGTGGAGTGGGATGGGGTGGTTCTAATAGGGAACACGAGGAAGTGGAATTCTGAAATTAATGGAGAGGACAAAGGGTACTCGTTTTGTCTTTGTAGTGTATGGTGCTACTCATACTGGTGATTTGTCCTCTTTGTTTTCATATCTGCAACTAGAGACATCTTCGCGGACTGTCTTCTATTTCAGGTCTCGCCAGTTGCAGCAATCCATATTTCATTTTGTGTTTATCTCAATTGAATTTTCTGTTTTCTGATGGAAAGTATGATGCTTTAGTAAGAATTTGGAAAGTATTTTTGCTCAATCACGTGAAAGGGTCTTATTACAATATTTATTATGGTAGCATCAAGTTGTCCTCGCGTTGACCAATAATAATGTTCTAATTACTATGGTTACATTGAAAAATCTTAATTTTGAATTTACGCTTGAGAACGTTTTATCTGAATTTTCCAATTTAACCTTACTAAAATAACCTTTAGCAAATCATCATCTTTAGTGGTGGACATAGAGATTTTGAGTTAATAGTTATAATTAAATCCCACTTTCTTAAACCTAGATTCACTCACATGATGTACTGATGTACATACGTTAGTATGTGTGTCTCAGTGTCTGAATAAATATATATTTTTATCTTATGTCTCTGTCTATCGAAACCAGTAAAGACGAGAGGAAGAATCAAAAATAGTATTCTACAAGAAGCTACAAGGTTCTTGGCTCTGTCTCTTTTCACACTCTCTTTTGTCTGTTCTACTGGACCCTATCTGCACCAAGAGAACCAAAAACAAATCTATATGTTTAAATTCAAAACACTCACTCATTTTTAATAATATATACACATGATACAAACATTTTTATATTTATTTTTTCTGTTTCTCTCTCTAAGAATATGGTCAAAGATGGTCTTCAAATTAAAGCCTATGCTACAATATGCAGTATGCATGGACATATACGTATATATTGGATTAAAGGGTCAATTGGGGGTGGGGCGGGGTTTGGTGGGGTGGAGTGGGATGGGGTGGTTCTAATAGGGAACACGAGGAAGTGGAATTCTGAAATTAATGGAGAGGACAAAGGGTACTCGTTTTGTCTTTGTAGTGTATGGTGCTACTCATACTGGTGATTTGTCCTCTTTGTTTTCATATCT